AGCCACCTAGAAAGAAACGACAAAAGAAAGCCAATGGTATTTGGGGCTTTAAGGAGGGAGTGTGTTGGTGTGTGTGTCTATTTTGCAGATTTTCCCAGCAGCCTTTGTGCAGACCCTACAGAGGCGTTTGCGAAGCGGGTCACCGTATAGGGCCTGGAAGTTAACCTCTTATATCAAATGAATCTTTTAATTGAGAGACCAATAAATTTCCACGTCTAGCCGCCTTTTGGAGACCCAGCCTGGGTTCAAGGAGACAGGACTGGGGCGCATCCCAAACACCAGATAAAGTTTGCCAAAGTTATTATACATTTCCCCTCCATCCTTTTTCCGCCAATCCGCAAAATTCCCCCATCCAACAAATAAAAGTTCAGGAAAGTAGCAGCTTTTCCTCCACGAGCAGATGGCTGGGAATTTCTGTATCTTTTCGCAGCAAGCCTGGAGTGCTTTTCCAAGCTCAGACACTGAAAATGATTTATAGTTTTTCAACAAGTCACTCTTTGGGTGTGCTGTTTAGGTGGGGCTGAGACAATCTAATAATCGATGTAAGGCTGGGGAGGGGGGAGGGGACCGTCTGTGACTTAACACCAGAACATGAAAGCCAGTCGGGTCTCCGGGGATGGAATTTGGGGAAGAGCCTGTGCACACGTCTGCTCAGAGGCTGTAAAGAAATACATTGTTAACAACCACAAAACAGACAATGCCCGGAGCTCTCTGCCTTGATTCTGAGCTGAGGTGCTTTCAAGATTTTTTAGTAGCACTGTTCATTTTGATGGAGTTTCTAGGCCATTTGAAATTCAACCTTTAGCCAGCCTGCTTGTGGGGTATGGTTACGGAATTCATTTTCTGATTTACTAGCCCTCCTCCTGAATTTTCTTTATTTCCTGATAGCCTCCCAGGGGTCCAATCTCCCCCCCCCGCCTTCCTTTTATATTGTCCAGTTTTGTTCTCCCCGCAGACGACTCGGAGTTTTTCCTCTTTCTCCTGATCACCCATTGCTTCCCATGTCTCCTTCCTTCCTTAAGAGACAGAATGAGGGGGAAAAAAACCCCAAACAATGAGAGGGGATTTCCAAACGGTTCCCCTCTAAGTATTATTAATTACTGCTACAAGGCAGCCGGTTCTTAACTAATAACAATTCTAACTAATAACAAAGTTGTAAATTACCACTGCCTTTCACATCTTTCCCATTTGTCAGCTCTGATTGATTTGATTCCTATTCCGGTCTTTGAAATAATTTTTGCTGCTCCAACAATCCGCTCTCCCCAAGAAGCTAAGAGCAGAGCGGCCCCTCTGCCTGCCCAGAACCTGCCCCTCTGGTTTTACTCTTCACCTGAACTTTGGGTTGCACCCTGGGGCCCATGGCCGGGCCTGGGATGCCGAGTGGGGAAGGTTCCCGGGGCCGTTCAAACACAAGGGGACTGGCAGACATGCATGTGTTCAGTGGTTTATATGTAATTTTGGAACATGGGCCGAGCAGATGAATTGTATTGACAAAGCCAAACAACATCCCTTCGTGAGTCTCCTGGACATTTTTTTCCCTCCAGATGCCAGGCTAAAGCAATGGATGAAAACCATTTTCTTTAAAGATTCCTAAAACCAGAAAACTCATCCAAGCCAAGTCCTATTTCGCCTTAACTTCCTGGATACTATTTCTAAGGAGCAGCTTTGCCCTGTCTGCTAACCTATCAGAGATGGGATTTCTGATGGTGGGTGGGAGGAGAGGTGTGTGGTTTTGGGGGTGTTGGGCAAAGGGCTCTGGGGGACAGGAGCACCCTGAAGTCCCCACCTTTTGGCAAGGGGGTTATATCACATCAAGGTCCTTTTTCCTTCCACCGTCAATGCCCAGAACGCGATTTGTACGCCATTGCTACCTGCTGCCTCCAATAATACCTCTCAAGTTTTAATCTTAATTATATTATGAAGTGAAGTACTGTGCTGTCAGGGAAGTGAACATGATTTATGACGTCTGCCTATTAAAGGATCGATTGTGAATATCACTACTATCCTCTATCAATAGTCTTCGGCCGCGAGGTATGTCTTGCCCCACGGTGGTGGTTTGTGACACCAAAGGGCCGGACTGAGGGAAGAGGCCATTCCCGCTCCGCAGGACTGGGTTGCCAGGCGCGTGCTCCAACCACCTCGCACGCCAAGGGAGAGCTTAAAGGTTTTTAAAACATGTTTAAAGCTGTGAATTCTCCTGATCTAGTGGGTGGAAAACCAGAGTCGGGTTTTTTGTTTTGTTTTTTTGTGGGTTTTTGGTTTTTTGTTTTTTTTTTTTAGGGAGAGAGGTAACCTCTGCAGGTCGATATGAGGGGCGAGGGTTTTCTAGCTTCCAGGAGATTTGCAGTGAGACTAGAAGGAAAAGACCAGCAACGAAGGGGCCTCTTGTTGGAAGGAGCGCCGAGTGCAGTGCGCGGGTGGACGGGGCATACGTTGGGAGCAAAGTCCGGCCGTGCCTACGCCCTTCCACTGGGAGGTGTCCAATTTCTGGGATCCAGGCTCTCTACCCCGAGCACCCCTAGGAAGCACCCCTCTCACCTGCTTCGGCCTCCTCCGCGTAGGGGGATGCGGGTGCGAAAGGCGCAGAGTCGAGGCCTGGGCGCTGAGGCCTTTTGTTTCCAGACGGAGCTCCGCAGCCCCGCTTTTCTCCACCCTGGCGGGGCAGGGCACGGGTCGCCGGCGAGTCTCGGCCTCTGCTTCAGGGGGATGGGAGGGAGGGGCGGTGAACCGAGCCAAACTGCAGCCTGGGACTGAGGCCGGAGCACCAGGGCCGGGCGGGCGCGCAGTGCGGCCTGGCCTGTGCGCAGCGCCTGTGGTCCGGCAGTCGCGCGGGGCTGCCTAGGCCCAACACCCCCTCCTCAGCTGCGGAGACACGGGGTGGACCGAGCGCCCGCTGGTACGGCGAGGGAAGCGCACACCGCCTGGAGCATCGCGGCCTCGACCTGGGCTGGAGGAGGCGCAGGATGCAGGGCCTCCGGCCTGGCTCTGCGCCTGGCCGCCCGCCCGGGGCCTGGACCTCGCGGCCTTCGCGGCTCAAGCTACTCCCCTCCACAGTGCCAGCTCCAAGAATTAGGAACGTCACCGGAACCTGTTCGCCTTCCCTCTCCCCGTCCCGGGCCGTGGGCCCACACGACGCCTGGCCACGCCGGGCAGGCAGGTTGTTGGAAAAGGCTCGAGGGAGCGTGCCTCCGCCGGACTTCTGGCTGTCCTCGGTGCCAAACCTGCCCCGGCCAGGAGAATGCATTTCAAGCCAGAAACCTTGATCTCCAGGCATGCTATCCCACCTGCCTTGCCCAGCCCAGCCTCCCGCCCCTACCCTTGGCCACGATGGTTTGTCCTCAGGTCTGGAGGCTCCCAGACACAATGCCCAGTACATAGTAAGCGCTCAATAAATGCTCCCCGTTGTCATCACTATTCGGCACATCTGGTTTCCTCCACAAGCACCTCTTCTCTCACACACGTGTGTTCCAGAGCAAACATGACACAGCTGTGCTCCCCGCCTAGGGGCCCGCCAGCCGCCTCTGCCCCCTACAAGGCCAGGTCCACAGCCCCCCATCTCTGACGGGCTGGGGAAAACCCGAGGCCCCTGCCATTCCTCCCGCAGGGTGTCTGCCCAGGCCTGGGCCACCCTGGGCAGAAGACACTAAGGCCTGAAGCAGGTGTTTGTCGGTGCCTAAGGGGCCCTGCCCGGGTCAGCGCCGGGGGAGGAGCCTTTCGGTCCCATAACATCCTCTGACAACCGAGAGCGGTTCGTTGCTTTAAAGCAAACAACCGAAAAGGAAACCTTTAGTGAGAACAGGCTGGTGTGTTGGAGGGGGCGGGGGACCCAGGGCAGGCCGAGGCAGGAGGATTAGGAGCAGCTGAGTCAGAAACGTCTGAGTGACACGTTTTTCTTTCCGAAATGATTCTTTGGGTAAGCCTTTCACCGGCCTGGGCCAAGGGGGTATGAGTTGGGAGACAAAAGCCTCTAGACACACTGTCCCCACGCCAGGTAGCTGATTTTATTTTACGATCTTAAATAAATATAACTCCCCCTTCCGATTCTTCTTCGGACCAATAGTATTAATAACATTGCTGTTGTTGTTATTATTTTGCAAACGACATTTCGGTCTCCGTCGTCCTCGGAGGCAGCAGCAGGAGTCCCGCCCAGGGCGGCGACCACCTGCTGCGCCGCCCCTGGGGCTCGTCCCTTTCCTCCTTGTCCGGTCCCTTCCCCTCACCAGGTTGATGGATAATCTTGGATACGGACCCCTTTAAAAATGACAAATGTCTTGTCTATGCAGAACATCCGTTCTCTCTTTCTAGTCCTTTTTCGGCGAGGGACCCAAGCGCAGGCCTGGCGGCGCGTTTTGCCGGGTCCCCAGTGTATCATTAGGGCCGAAACCTTGGCCTAATTCGAAGCTAGGACGTCTCGAGAGAGCGGGTCGGGGAGAAATCGGTGGCCTAAGGAGCTAGATTTAAGCTTTGGAGGGATTGGAAATGGAGGGCCTGGAGGAGGACGCGATTCCTTCGATTTCCCCCGCTCCCTCCCACACAAGACCCTGCGTTCTCCCCTCTCGGCCCTGCGGGGAGGCGCGGCCCTGAGCTCTCCGCGGCCTGTGTCCCGGCCGCCGGCTTCGCAGGCTCCGGGCCCCGGAGCGTCTGGCGCGCCCTCCCCAGCGCTCAGACCCTGCGTCGTCCGCTGGCTGCTGCCAGCCCCCGGGAGGAGGCGCTGGTGCCCGGGTCGGCCTCTGGTCCCTCCCAGCCGTCGTCCCCGGGGCACCCATTCACAAAGCCCCGCTTGGAAGAGGAGACACACACACACACACACACACACACACACACACACAGCGAAGAGGGGAGTTTGATCTTGTCTCATTGGCGTCTGGGCCTGAAAGGAAAATCGTTTGGGTAAACAGCCAAGCTTCCAGGCTTAACGCCTGGCTCTCGCCCCCGCCCCTCCACCCCCTCCCGCTCCCCCACTCCCCTTCAACCCCACCCGCCACCCACACTCCGCTCCGCAGCCGGGCCCCGAGCGAGCTGCGCGCGTCCGGGCGGGAGCCCGGGCTCCGGGGTTCAAAGGGCCGCAGCCCCCAGGGAATGCCCTCCTCTCTGTGCCCCGGGGGACAGAAGCGGACTGCAGGGCGGTGGGACCGGCCTGGGCCACGGTAGGAACCGCGAAATCCCCCGATTCCCTAAGTAGGGCTGGTCCCGGGGGAGGGCGCCGGGGAGTTCGGACCTCGCCAGCGCATTTGCGCCCAGACCGAGCGGAGGCCCAGCCCGCGCCGCCCGGAGGGCACCCTGGGCCCCAGCAGGCGGTCACAGGCGAGTGCACACGTGTGTGGGCAGCCGCGGCGGGGGCGTGGAGCCCCTGCAGGCCGCCGTGCGCTGGGAACACCTCCGCAGGGTGATTATCGGGTCCCGCCTCCTTCCAAACGGCCTCGGCTCCTGGCAAAGCCTTTAATCTATATTAAGCGTTTTCCGAAGTTTGATTCTTTCCAAAGGAGAGTTCTTCAGTTAACTGGCTGTAAACATAATTAATAGTTATTAACATGCAAAAAAAAACCACCCCACTTTGTGGTGTTTTAAAAGAGATTGGTTTCTCTCTAGCTCACACTGAAGCGAGGGGGGGGGAACCTCGAAATCTGAAAATATCCTGATTAGATTATTAGGCCGGATGATAGGCTGACCCCTCCCCACCTCCTCTAATGAAATTCCTCCCTCTTCCCCCTTCCTCCCTCGCTCCTTCCCTCCTCACCCTCTCCTCTTCCAGTCTGGATCTCTCTCCCATCCAGGAATCATTAGCAACACCCTCTGGCTACATGTTTCAAATCAGTGGAACATTGTGACATAGTTGTAATACAAACTCTGCCGCCTTGCACTGTGTCTTGCAGTAGGGAGTGTAACAGCAATAAAAAATCATTTTTCATCTCCAGGCATTATTCAGTGGGGGGAAAAAAACCCAGAAAATCTGAATGTGAGAACAGGAGGGGGAGGAGGAGATAAAAAATGAAGGCAAGGAGGAGAGAGAGAGAGAGGCAAGAAGCCTTTTCCTATGGAGAGACTTCTCCAACCTGGAGACCACTAGAGTCAAGTTTCTAATTTTTCTCCTCTCTTCTCTTTTTGTGCCTGCTCCCCAGTTATGTCCCTCAGCTGACCCCAGGGCCTTCTGGGTCCCAGCATCTCTCAGCAGATCCCTTCTCCCCAACATAGCATCCCAACCAGGCCCCAGGACTCCCAGGGGCCCCCACCACCCCTCCCCAGCTGCCTGGGGTGAGGGGTCCTCGCTCAACCCCTGCTTAGAAATCAGGGCCTCTCGGAAGACTTCCCTAGCCTGATGAAGAAGAGACGAGCCACCCAGGAAGCCAACGTGGCTATTTCCCCGGCTAAGCCCTGTAATTTCGGAGCACAGGCTCTCCAAGAGCCTCCTAATCCGCCATGAGTGTTGGTTATGAGGAGGAGACACTCCCTCCGTTGCCTGCGTGCCCTTTGTGAGGGTTACCTGCCCACCCAGGAAGGGCAAAATTTCAAAAAAGGGTCTCTATGCTGAGTCTGTCCAGGCAGGAAAATGGAAGGGCTCAACACATGGGCGCGATCCACTCTGTGACCAGAACTTCTAGCTCAGGCAGCATTATCCACAGGATCCACTGAGCTCCTTTATATAAAAACAAATGCAGTCAAAACCACATTGAACGGAATTACGTGCACCCTCCACCCTTAAATACACACACACCCTACACAAATCCTTACGAGACAAGATAGGACACTGTCATTTTAATGCCACAGTTGGCACCTTTGCAGGAAAAATCTTGTTTTCCGAAATTTGTTTTTTCTTCTAACACCTATCTCGGGGGATGGCGTGTTTTGAAAGAAATTGAAGTAGAGACTCACCGTATGCGTGATTTAAACTTTCTTTCTATTTTTGTAGTCCCTCGGACGTGACAGTGGGGTGGGTCTCTTAAAGTTACCCACTGTATAAAATAGGGCCAAACACCCGGTTACACTTTGCAGAGGAACACTGTGTAATGTGTAACTCTTGTAGCTGCTTTCACTGGCCAATCGATGTACATACAGGTTTAGGGACTGAGTTTTGTGGTCATTTTGTCATCTGAGCCAAAGGCTGAGGGGGGACCAGGCTGGCCCTTGCATGGCAGGGCACCTTGGATATCTGAAGGACCTGAATGAGTGGATTTCGGTGGAAATCGTAATTGGGAAGGGATGACTTCATAGGCACCGCCTTAAGGGAGATCTTTGCATTGGCCACAGCTGAGTGGCCGGAACACGGTGGCGGCGCGAACGTCTGGCCTTTTAGGGACATCTCTTGTTTATTTTATATTTTCTACGGACATAGCGTCACGACTTAGACTGAGCGAAATTGCACCTATGTATTTTTCCCCTGTCCCTTGCTATGTTCCTTTTACGCCAGTGCAGACGCTGCGCAGTGTGTCGGTCGCAGACAACGGGGTGTCGCGGGTGGGAAGGAGGCCTGTGCATTTAAGCTTCCCTTAGGTTTTGGGGAAAGTCCGGAGACGGTCAGGTCAAGCTGCAGAAAGCTGGGAGTCTCGTACGTGTAATTCCAGTTTCCGCGGCGAGGTGGCGCTCCAGGGCACGGCAGCGCGCCCGGCTGCCCGCCGCGTTCCCGCAGCGAGGCCGCGGCCACGGAGCCAGGGCAACGCCGGCTTCCCCGCGCCCGGGCGCGAACATCGCGGAGCGCTCCGACCCGCTGCACCCACTGGTCGGCCGGCGGGCGAAGGCCCGAGGCCGCGGCTGAGGAAGGCCGGCGGCAGCGCGGAGCGCGGCCGGGCCGGGGCGGGGCACCCTGCGGGGCCCGGTGGCCCCGGGGGGGAGTCAGCGAGGTTGGAGTTCGCGGTGGGGCGCGGGACGCGGGCTCGGCCGGAGCGTGGAAGGCCGGGCCCACGCACACCGAAGGCGCCCCCACCTCTTGCAATCCCTGCTCGGGACACCTCGCTTCTCGTTCATTTTCCTTGTTATCGGTTTCTTTTAACGAAAAAATTTTAAAGGATAGAAAATCATATGCACTCCGTATTGCTGTTCCCCCAAACCAGAAGTTTTTCCTATTTGGTAGGGTTTTGTTTTTTGGGTTTTTTTTTTCCTTCATTGTAGCTTTACTGCCCTCCCCTTTTCGTTCCCCCCACCACACACACACCTTTCCATAGGTGTCTGTTTTTCTTTTCCTTTTTGACTAACTTCTGAGAGCTAGTTCTGTGTGGGTGGATGAGAGAGCAAAAGAGAGAAGGAGAAAGAAAGAGAGAAATTAACAGCAGCTCTGGAAGACCCAGCGTTGGGCAAATGGCAGCAACACTGAAATTATTTCGATGTATTGGACACAACTCCATCCTGCGATTTCGTTTCCATACTTTTGCTTTTTCTACTACGTATTTCACAAGACCCAAGTCCAAGATGAGGGGGGCAAATGCCTTTCACCGCCTCTCTCAACCTGCGGTGCAGGGGACCCTTGAAAACCACTCTTGAAACAGTGATAGAAATAATTCTACTAATAGTCACAGTGCACAGCATTGCCATCTTGCATTAATTTCTTCGTGGGTTTGCATCCAGCTCCGTGGGGTCTGAGCAAGGCCAGAGGCGTGGCTGTTCGCCTGAGCTCTCTGTTGAGCCATTTCCTTGACCCCTGGGTTGTCCCCTAACCCAGTAGCCTTGGGCCCTGGATGCTGGGAGGCTTTGCTGAGCCTGCAACCTGGTCTCGGAATAGTGCCAGCTGCACCTCCTTTAGCCCCAATTCCCTGCCACCTCACCTTCCTTGAAGTTTCTAGTATAAATGCAAGTATTTTTTGCCCCCATTTGCGAGTCTATGGAAACTCAGAGGGCTGGGTCATTAGGCGTGTTCATGTGGTGACCGAGAATTATAAACACAACCCGAGTCTCTTCCAGTGCATTTCCTCAAGCATTTATTTGAGTTAAGTCATGAAAAGTGACAGTTGTGGAATGGGCAGCTTTTACACGTAATGAAGTCGGATGAGGCTTGAACCTGTCGATTGCTATAAATCAGCTTTGAAAAAGACGAATGAAGAATATTATTTGGGCGCTGAAGAGCCAGCATTGGCTAAGGGGCCTGAAATCGGCCTGCAAGCCGTCTCTCTGGGCAGGAGCGGGGCCAGGCTCTGCCCTGGGAGCGTGGCCCTCCGGTGGCCCAGGCGGCCTGGGACCTGCACTGCCCGCAGGTGACATTTTGGTGGGGGCAGGTCTCTGTGTAGACTTTATCTTTGGATTTGGGCCACCTCAGTGTGTCCAGGCAGGTGGCCTCAGTCCTCACCACGGTTGGAAATTCAGAGGGGCTGACACCCAGGCCACAGTCTAGATGGGGCCCAGCCCAGGTCCCCAGCAGGCTGAGGGTGTCCATTCCCTCCCTCCGACAGGCGGGGCCGGGCACCTGCAGACCCGCTACTCTCACTGACCCATTTGGAAATGGTGGCAGCAGATGAAGGGAAGGAAGGGGAGGAAGGAGAGTGAGAAATTAAATTTTCAGGGGGCCCTGAGAGGCCAGCGGGTTTGGGTTCTTGGTGACATCAAAAGGCCCTCAACTGCTAGGGAGCCCAGGGAAGGGCAGGACTGGGGACCCGGCACCCAGAGGTCTTGTGTTGGGGGAAAGGGTTTCAGTTCAGCACCTGCCCCACTCACGGAGTCCAGACATGGCTTCGGAGGAAGGTGAGCTGTTGGGCGTTTTTAAAATAAAATTTCTAGGCAATCTCAGCTCCTGCACAACCGCCATTTAGATCCTAACCTGACGTGGGGGGGGGTAAAGGGGGGGCGATAGTCCTTTCCCCGGTGCCTGCAGCCCCGAGTCCGGCAGCTGACCTGGCCGGGGAGAGCCCAGCGACGGCAAGCTCTCCAGCAACAGGTGCTGCTGTTTACCCTCCCCCGCCTCCTCCAGCCCCGTCCCCTTCCATCTTCAGTTCTGGGGTCAGCAGGAAAGAGGGAGGACACCTCCCACCCACGCCCCACCCTTGACCATGGAGAGAAGCCCACGGAGGGCGGGGAGACCCGGCCGCTTTGGGGGCCAGCGCCTGGCTGGGAGGCTCTGGAGACGGTCTGTGGCCCGGAGTTCGCTTAGCTTGAAATTCCCAGACTCTAGGCTGGACGCTCCGACTGGGAGGGACCCTCAGAAAACCAGTCCCGGGAGAAAGAGGCC